AGATTGGCCCGGACTTGTCAGGGCTTTTTAGTCCCGCTACGTTACCTAGTCTCCGCGGTCACCCACTGAAACTGCATAAACCAAGGTCTGATAGGATTAGGACGGAAACTCGTCTATCGCGCCGAGTTATAGATCGCTGGAATTCGCTTCCAGATCACGTGGTTAATGAACCTACGGTTAAGGGTTTTGCGCGCCAACTCGATGCTCTTGCGTGGCAACAGCAAACCTTTCCTTTTTCCTAGCTTACTCACCTTCATTTTTCAGTTCTTTTTTTATTGACTCAAATATCTTGGTATTCCACTTGCTTAGCTCTTACCACTTTCTCTTTTGCCTCCTGCGTTTACTTTTTTCTCTTTCTTACTTCACGTAACCGACCCAGCAGGGACTGCTAGGGCAGGATACGTGGGCATTAATTGGTTGGACAGGGTGTGATGCGGTCTTTGTTTTAAGTCCATCAGTATTTCAAAGTTCGCCAACTCCTGGTTCAACGACCCGCCGAAGAAGGAACACTCACGGGATCTATCCTATCGTTCCAGTCCCGCTTGAACTTGAACTTGACCTTGAGTCTGTGAGAAAGGCTGTACCGCCGGTCGACCTCCTCTTGAGAGTTGCGTGCAAGTGAGGTAACTGGGCGACGGAAAGGCAGTTAAGATCGTTTTTGGAGAATCACTTAGTGAATATTTGGTCTTTATCCTCCATAGCGTCCAAATGCTTGTCCTGTAGGTAAGGTGTCACCACTCGTTCAAAAGCAGTGCAGTGCTTTGAGTGTGATAGGTGGATGAACATTTCCTGCTGCGGCGGTTGTCCTGATCAATATATCCTTTAGTAGGGATTCATCACGCCAGCCATTAACTTTTTATGTGACTACTGCCGCGCTTTACAGAACAGCAGGCGTCTTCTAGCCTGACTATCTGCGTTGAGCCTTGATTCTTCGACGAAACCTGACTCTATTCGCGAATCATCTGTTCTATCTTGCTCACCATCTACCTCCGGTTGGATCACCCCATGGGTAAGCGAAGCCGAATTCCGTTCACTGCTCATTCGGATTCATCTACACAGCTCTTTCCCATTGAGCCCACAGCAAGATCTTGTGCGTCAGTTGTGAGGGAAAACAGTCTCTTTTCCTATTTGCAATAGCCCAGGTACAAGTGGCGCCTAGATTAGGCTTAAGCCCGTCGGAAAACCTAAACTTAAGCTATCATCTCAGTCTTATATGAAGCTAGTTCCCGACAGACTATCCGAGGTAGAGAAAGTGGTCAAGAGAGTTGAGATCAACTATGATTAGAAGGCGCAACTTACGGGACCGCTTTAGGCAACCTCATTCAGAACTTGACTTCTCTCACTACAAGACTGTTAGAAATGTTTGTGTCGTGATGAAGCGCCAGAAACGCCAACAATACGAACTGGCCTTGGCAAAATACCCCAGAATCCCGCATAAAATGCTCCCCTCTTATTTGAAAAGAAGCACTAGAGCTGGTAATGGCATCCCTGCTTTGTGTTTCTGTGATTATCAAGCTTTGCTTCACGAGGACGCTGAGAAAGCTAGTCACTTGGCTAAGCAATACGCTTCTGTTTACGCGAAAGAAACACCATTTAGTGACAGAGCCCTATCCACCTTTCCATCTTCGTTGGCCCAAGTAGATAGTAACACTGATTCTGTGATGAAACCACTTCAGTTAGATCCGTGTAGCTCACCCGGCCCTGATGGATTGCATCCTTTGTCCCTCAGGACTGTGGGGGAGTACATAGCTTCAACCATATGTCAAGTCTTTCGTCGCTCACTAGAAGCTGCCCGTCTCTCTTCAGCTTGGAAAGTGGGTACTGTCAAACCCATTTACAAAGGAGGAAGTCGACATGATCCAGCCAATTATCGTCCAATCTGTCTGACGTCAGTAGTGTGTAAAGTTGTAGAACGGATCCTAAAACAAGCTGTTACTCTTCATCTTGGGGGACAGAATGTCATTTCCTGTGCCCAACATGGGTTCCGAAAAGCACGCTCCTGTACCTCGAACTTGCTCGCTGCTAAGGAGACCTGGGCAAGGTCGCTAGACTCCGGCAAACGCTTGGGCGTTGTGGTTGTTGACTTCAGCAAAGCTTTGGACAAAGCCGCATGAACAGCTCCTGTTTAAGCTCCAAGGAATCGGTATTTCTGGGAAGCTCCTGTCTTGGATCTGCGTTTTCCTCAACGACCGCTCTATGCAAGTGAAGGTGAGTGACACATTTTCTGCTCCTGTTCTCATAACGAGTGGGGTCCCACAGGGCTCTGTCCTCGGTCCCGTACTTTTCCATATCTTCATCAACGATTTACCATCCACTCCTCAGACGGATTGCCCAATTTACGCTGACGACCTAAAGCTATGGATGGAAGTATGCAGCCTTGAAGACGCGGACAGAATACAAACTACGCTAGATCTACTCCATGATTGGTCGAGTAAGTGGAAGTTGCCCGTAAATCGTGACCAATGCTCTGTTCTCCCCGTTGGCTCATCAAACCCATTTGGAATTTACCACATTGGTTGTTCCTCGCTCAGAAGAGCAACCCAAGAGAGGGATCTTGAAGTGATAGTATCATCAGACCTCAAATCTATTCATAACACTCAGAAGAGGGTCGCCGCGGCCTACAGGATGTTCCATTCTATACGTAGAGTATTTTCTCTCTCGACCCCGGGACTTTTCCGACTCCTCTTTGGCTCGCATGTACGCCCGATTCTCGAATACCGGCTACCCGATGCCTACGCTCTCACCAAATCCGAATGTGATGATAGAGAAGGTTCAATGGCGTGGATCCAAATCCGTCTTTGAGTTGCGAGACCTGTCGTATCCACACCGACTTCAACGACTGAACTTGTTCTCTCTAGGTCACCGCCGTCACCGAGGAGATTTGATATTCACTCGACGTATTCTCAGAGGAGAACTAAGTTGCGAGTTACAGGACTTCTTTCAACCCGACACAGAGTTCGACACGAGGTCACCGCATGAAACTGTTCAAACCGCGAAATCTCCGTGTGCGGCTCAATTTGACCTTATCAACTCGCGCGGCGAATGATTGGAATCGGTTACCGGATCCTATTGTTGATGCTGAGACAGAGGAACGTTTCAAACAACCGTTGGATTCTTACCTGAGCGCGCTGAGATTCTGCTGCCTCTAAGACAGCTACAGTGGTCCTCTGCGGAACCTTCTGCCACAATGATCCACGCCATCTCCGCAGTGGTCGTGAAGTGGAGGGGCTGGCAATGGATCTTCCTTTTGCTCTCTTTCATCCAATGATCCAGTTAAAATCCGTCCCTTAGCAAGCCACGAGTTTCTGATCGCACCCAGCCATCTCGCGACCGTTGTCTCATCATCATGAACGCAGCGGAATCGGAAAAAGCAACCCCTGTGAAAAGAATACTAGATGACCAAACACTGCTTTAGCGGTTGCTCTCGTTGCTATTTGATAAAGGCGAACAGAGGATCAATATTGTATCTGCCTTCTGTCTTGGTAAAAGGTAAGAGGATACCTCGAAGACGCCCACTTAAAATCGTTTGCCGGAGTGAGGAGGAATGCCGACGCATCCTGCGACGGATCTCGCGTATCAAAGGTGAGCCGTTCTACGTACTTCGTGCCCTTACTCCAAAGGATCGAGTCAAAATGAAGAAGGCTGTAGAAGAGGTAAGTGCTAGACGGGGAAGTGATGAAACGGACCTCCATATTGTGCATTTCCGAGTAGTTCGGAGGACTCCGAAAGCCTGTTGGAGGCCAATTCGCGTCACTTCGGGACGGTAAACATTAGGAACGGACTGCGCGTGCTATCCGCTAATGTGCGAAGTCTAAGGAATAAGCTGAATGCGATTCATTTGCTTACCTCAGAGACTCATTCAGACCTGATGGCCTTCAATGAAACATGTTTGTTCCCAGAAATCACAGACTCAGAACTGTCTATCTATGGATATGACCTCACTCGTTCCAATCGCCACGGTGAAAGGTATGGTGAGGGCATAAAGCTCTATTGGAAGGCGGATCTCGAAGCGCATGTGGTTGAAGCTATTCTTGACCATGATAACAATTTTGAAACCCTCTGGTGTCGAGTGCATTATGGATGTAGACCTCTCTTGATCGATTTCATCTACATGGCACCATCAGGTTCCGGAGGTAGTTTGTTCGGCTCGATCAGGGCGCATGGCGGAGGCAAGGACTGTCTTATCGTAGGAGATTTCAATGCACCAGACATCGATTAGAATTTCCTTCTTTGTGCTCGCCCATCCGACCACTTCGATGCTGCCTTACTCAAAACCGTCCTGGATTGCAACCTTTTTCAACATGTCACGACGCCAACTCGTATTTTCCCAGATAAGACACCGCACATCCAAGACCTTGTGCTTTCCTCAGCACAATCAGACATCACAAACTTAGCTGTTGTCGAGCCCATTGGCAGCAGTGATCACTGGGCTGTTTCTCTTCAGTGGACTCGTCATTTCACTGTCCACAGCCAATGTACCGACCGTCGGAATTTTTGACGTATAGATGCACTTCGTTTGAAAACGACTGCAAGCCTTGTGGGTTGCAGTATCCCTGGACACCTCAGTGTTGCTGATGCGTGGAATCTTTCGTACTCCAAGCTGATATCGCTCATCTAACAGATAGTCCCTATCTCCAAGAGAAGACCGTTTTCCAAAGACTTACCTTGGATAGATCGCCAATTAACATCCCTTATGAACAAAAGGCGTATACGCCGCCCGCAACGCAGAGTACTGTTCAAATCGTGAAGTTGGATTTATCACCTCAACCTCCAAAGCTGTATTTGGAGGACGAAGTAAGCGCTGATTCTGAGAAAGAAAATGAACATCCATCAGCCTATCCCCACACATCCAGGTAAACCATGCGTTAGTTTTCGCCCACTTAGTTCTATTCAGCCAGACGTTTCTCAGCGTTCAGCTGTTAGCGGGACATCCTGTGACAGCGCACTGCTGTTGAAAATGAATGGTTGGTTCACAGCGTCTCCGTAACATTCACTTGCAGGCATCTTGCGAAACGTAAATCGCGAGATGAAAATGCGCGAACGAATGACAGCTGTAGAGTTGTCCTTGAACGCGCTTCATGCACTTCAGGCGCCCAGTTCCAGCAACGCGTGCCCATTTCCATTATCAATGGATACTATGGCGCAACTGTCATTTTTAAACAATGCACTGGAGAACGCTGAATTCATGCAGAGCGTGGTAAGTCTCATGCAATTTCACTTATTTGTAGGTGCATTCTTTATCCCACGTAAGCGGCCGAACAATTTCAGAAAGTGTGCGAAACGTCATGCTTACTTGCATGACTAACAACTTGGTCAGATAAGTGAACTGGCGTGACGTGCATAAGAAGTATAAGATAGGGAACACACCATTCGCGCGAGCGGTCCTGGGTATGTTACTTTAAAAGTAACAATCATGTTCTCAACAGATTCCATTGTGCGAAAAAACGTACCAGGATGCACAGAGCCTGATATTGTTGACATGCTGCGACGCTGGATACAAAGAATAAAAGCGCGTGAATCCTGGGTAGAGAAGGAAACAACGGTTATCACTGCAAGATTCCACTTTGTAAATTATTTAATCCATATTACATTATGTTTTCGCTAACTGTGTTGTGTTCATGGCATGTAATGTGTGCGATCGCATTAACGTGCTTTCAGTGGTATTGGAAGGAAGGATAATGTGCCTAGGCTTTTCCCGTTACCGCTGGAAATCGGGGAAATGTGAGCGTACAAAGCAAGGCGCCACGTTATTTTTCTCCGCGAGCGCCCGATGAGTGACAATTTTTGCCACTCGGGCACTCGATCGGTCACCCATCGGACATCCAACGGGCGTTCATCGGACACTGGTGCTTAGTGGGTAAACTGTGGAACTGTTTTAAGCTCAAGTTCGAGTGGGACTGGAACGATAGCTTGGATGCCGTAAGTGTTCCTTCTTTAGCGAGTCGTCGATCCAGGAGTTGATAGGGGTGCTCCGACTTCTTGATGGGTCTAAGGGGGAAACACCCGAAAAACGCAATCAGACCTCAATTCTTCTCGCTATAAAACAATCAGGAATGTTTGTACTTTGCAGAAACGGGAGAAAGGTCAACTGTACGAACTGTCATTAGCTACTCTTTCCAGGACCACATCCAAAACGCTTTTCTCGCACATCAAGCGAAGTACCAGAGCCGGCAGTGGTATCTCTGCCTTGTGTTCCCGTGAGCATGTTGCATTAGTTCACGAAGACAGAAAAAGCCAACCTTTTATTTAAGTAATATTCTTCTGCTTATTCAACAGAAACGTCTCCCCCTTGCAGCTTCTTGCCATTCCTTCCTTTCTTGCTAGAGAACTTGAATATTAACGCTGATTTTGTACTGGAGCTATTACTTAATTTAAATCCGTATTCTTCGCCTGGCGTTGATGGCTTACATCCATTGTTCCTTATAACTGTAGCCGAGCAAATTACCGCACCTATCTGTCAGATATTCAGTCTGTTTTTTGCTTCTGGACGTCTTCCGGCTGCCCGGAAATCGGGCATCATCAAGCCTATTTATAAAGGAGGAAACCGACAAGATCCAGCGAATTATCGTCCTATTTGTTTGACATCTGTAATGTGCAAACTTATGGAACGGACACTAAAACGCGCGCTATGCCTCCATCTCGAAAATTTGGGTTTTATCTCTTCTGCCTGGCATGGATTTCGAAGTGCTCGCTCATGCGCCACAAACTTGCTTGTAACAAGGGGAAAATGGGTGAGATCCCTAGAGGTTGGCAAGTGATTGGATGTTGTTTGTTGATTTTAGCAAGGCTTTTGACAAGGTTCTGCATGGGCGGCTTCTTTACAAACTCCGCAGAATTGGCGTTGCTGGGAATATTCTCTCCTGGATCTCCGATTTCCTGGACAGTCGCTCTGCGCAGGTAAGGGGTGAATGATACGCTTTCTTATCCTTTCCCTACGACCAGTGGTGTCCAACAGGGTTCTGTTCTTGGCCCTGTACTCTCCAATATCTTTATTAACGACCTCTCGTCCGAGCTGCAGACGGAATGTTTAATTTATGCAGATGACTTGCAACTTTGTCTTAAGGTATCCAGTCTAGAGGATGCAGACAGGCTACAAGAAACGCCCAACAGGCTGCACGACGGGTCGGTAAAATGGCAGTTACCTAACAACCGTGGTAAATGTTCCGTACTCCCGATTGGTGCTCGTGAACCATACAGGATGAACCATATTTGAGGTTTCTTGCTTAGAAATGTCGCTCAGGAAAGGAACCTCGAAGTAATTGTGTCTCCTTACCTCAAAACAACTGAGGACACTCGGAAAAGGTTCGCTGCTGCTTACAGGATGTTTCATGCCTTACGAACAGCATTCTCCCGTCTTACTCCAGAACTGTTCAGGCTCCCGTTTGCCTCACATGTGCACCCAATTATCGAGTACAGTTTGCCAGCTGCTCATTCTGTTACGAAAACCGAATGCGATATGATTGAGGAGGTCCAACGCCGTGGATCTAAATGTGTGTCATAGCTGCGGTGTCTATCTTATCCTCTCCGTCTCCGGCGATTAAACGTTTTCTCTCTGGATTACCGTCATCGTCGCGGCGATTTGATCTACACTCGACTTATCCTAAGGGGAATGCTAGGAAGAAAGTTACAGCAGTTCATTCATCTGCACATTGAAAGTTCTACACATGGCCACAGATAGAAACGGTTCAAGTCGAGGGGACTCCATGTGCGGTCAGATCTAGCTCTATCCACGCGCGTGGTTAACGCCTGGAATCGCCTGCCGGAGCTCGTCGTTGATGTGCAGTCCGAGGAAGGTTTTAAGAAAATGTTGGATTCCCACTTGATAACTATGCCTGGAGATTGCTTCACAACAGAGCTTTAAGATTCATTGTGGAGCCCTATTTTCGCAACGACCCCAGCAATGTCCACAATGACTGGGAAGCGACGGAGCTAATAAAGGACTTTCCT